TGAAGCGATATTTCCAAGTTCGAATAGGCAGCACTTACTCTGATATTAAAACCCAATCAAACGGTATTCCTCAAGGGTCCACTCTTAGTGTTACTTTATTTCTTATTGCAATCAATAATATTGCCAACTCACTTTCACCTATAGTCAAAGCCTGTCTATTTTGGGACGACCTGGTCATCTACTTAAGAGAAAAAAATTTATCATCAATCTCACATTATATTCAAGGAGCCATTAGTAAACTAGAAAATTGGTCTAATACTACTAGTCTGCGTTCTTTTTCAATAAAACAAAAGCTATGCTTTTCAGGAAACGCTTTAGAGCTAATTTAATCCCTCCTAACCTAGTTTTAAATAACAATTCTCTTGAATATATAAAATCTATTTATTTTCTTGGCCTGCAATTAGATAATCGTTTAACTTGGAAAAAACGTGTGCACTTTCTTCGACAATCTACACAAAATGGACTTAATTTGTTAAGAAGTATAGCTCACAAACAATGGGGCGCGGACTTTCAAACATTAATGACTTTATACAGATCCCCAATTCGCTCAAAACTTGATTACGGGACAATTGCCTACAATTAAGTAAAAATTTCAAGAATAAATAGTCTCGATCCAGTTCATAATTTCGCAATTAGGATAGTATTGAGGGCACATTACACAAGCCCTATTAAGATCATGTACTGTGAATCTGGGGAGCCTTTACTTTAGCTTAGAAGGGAATAAGTTTCATATCCTACAAGGGTGGCGGCAAATCCAACCATTCCTGTTTTCAGAAACACTTTTGCTGACAGATTTTTCTCGACGTTTCAGTCAAGAAGAAGATTAGATCCACCATTTTATCATCGTATCAGAACAATTCTAAATAACCTAGACATCACTGTACCTCCTATATACACACTTACAAATTATGATAATCCTCTACCTTGGACAATATCTCTCCCAAAGTGCGATATCAGTCTTATATCATTTAAAAAATCTAATACTTCATTATACCTCTTTAAAGCCAAAGCCTTATAAAAATTAAATAGTCATCACAAGTCCATCGACATTTATACTGATGCGTCAAAGTCGGAAAATAAAGTGGATGCTGCATTTGTAACAACCAGCGAAGAACGGTCATTTTAACTTCCTAAGTAATTCACTATATTCTCTGCTGAACTATTTGCCATTCTTCAGACAATAAATAGGTGAATAGCTGAATAGGTATTCATTTATTAATTCATCTTTATCTATTTCCCATCTTAACTGTTAAGTAGGTTTGTTTAAAAAAATCCTATTTTCTGCCTTTCTAGATTTTTGCTACGTTTTCCTGGCTTGTCTGTAGCTGCACACTAATTTTCTCGAATTTCGAGAAACTAATTTCTCTCGAAAGTAGTTTTACCTATGGTTTTTCTTAAAATTTATTTCGTATTGTTAAGTGCTGCTTGTTGTACGTTTGTAATTAATTTGTCTGCTTCATCCTCAAGTTGTTGATTAGTTCTGCTTGGTACATTTAAGTTAATTGTTAACTTAGTTCCTGTTTCAAACTGCACCAATCTGTTCCAATCTTTGTTAGGAGACAGGTAGATTAGTAGTATTAGAAAGTGATTAGAATTGAAACTTTTTCAACTTTCTTCAAGTTTGTTCAAACTTCTCTTAAATTATCCAAAAAGGATTAAAAGTTTCAGAACTTTTTTAATCGTGTCGGAACATCGTCAGTGAAAAAATTTAAAGGGTAGTTGAAACTAGATTGAATGACCCTTAAATTAAAATATAACAGACCTTTTTGACTTCCAAATTGAATGGACTAATGAAGCTACTGGGCTATAAGCATACACACGAAGCGAAACATATCGAAGAAAAACTCGAGACAAAAATTATTAAACTATCATTTATAATCAAAACCAGACTGGTCAATAGCACAACCCTACCAACACTAACTTATGTCAGAGCAAGGTGGAATCACACCTATGAAACAAATAGCAAAAATTTACAAATAGTTTAGAAAAATATCTAAGAGCAGCAGTAAAACATCTCTAAATTGATTATCTCTAAACAGAGATACCACACAGCAAAAAATACCAAATCAATGAAGAACAGAGCATACTACATCTTTACTGAGCTGACCCACCACCAAAACAAAATATTTAGAGAGCTCGTGGGTTATAATGTAAATGATAAATGTAAATACCTACTGCCTATACATCAACTAAGAGCATACAATAGATAAAACAAGCCAAATTATGTTACAAGATAATGAAATTATTGACGAGTTTAACCTTCTCGTTAAATTGAAGTAGATAGTAATGATCATCATCATATAACGGGGGTCCTACGGCGATTGCCGCTTCCCGAATTTCAGCCTCTATCTTTTCATATCTCTCCAACCTCCCTCTTCTAAGCCTCTAGATCGCATTGTTTTTGTAATTTCTCTTCTCCAGGAATTTGGTGGTCTTCCCCTTTTCCTTTTTTTCTGGCGAAACATACATTAAGGCGTTCTTTGGCCACCGCTCCTCCTCCATTCTCATCACGTGACCATACCATTGTAATTGCCTTTCTTGTATTCTATCTGAAAGAGTATCTCTAATTCCTGTACGGTTTCGTATTTCCTCATTCCTGATTTTTTCCATTCTCGATACTCGACATGACCTTCTAAGATAATCCATTTCCACAACGTCTACTTTATCTCGTTCATTCTTTGTTATCATCCAACGTTCGGCACAATATGTGGTAATCGGTTCTACAATTGCTCTGTATACACGAAGTTTGGTATGCATCTTTATTTTATTAGGCCACATTAGAATTCAGTATTTGGATGCATTTTTTCCCTTGAGTTATTCGGTTTTGTACATCTATCTTAACTCTGCTATCTGTTGATATGATGCTTCCTAGATATTTATACTGGTTGCAACCTTTAATGACTGCGTTTTCAAGCCTCAGATCTGTGGTATTTCCTCCAATTTTTAAAAATTCTGTTTTGCTTATGTTTACAGTAAGCCCCCATTTGGCATATTCCTCAAATAATTTTCGATTCATATAATTTATATCTCTGTCATCGGTTGCAACCACCACCTGATCATCTGCAAACAACAATGTATACACAGTTTCTTGTCCCACTTCGATGCCCATAAATCTACATTTATTTCTCCAATTCCTAAATGCTTCTTGGACGTATATTTTAAAGAGTGTCGGTGACAAACAGCATCCTTGCTTTAGGCCTTTAGTGACTTTAAAATCATTTGAAATTCTGGTTCCAATTTTTACACAACTAACTGCATTTTCGTACAATTTATATATCGCTCGGATATACGTCGAATCCAATCCGGACCTTTCGAGGACCTCAAACATTTTCTTTAACGGGAGACTATCATATGCTTTCTCAAGGTCTATAAATACCAAATGGGTCTCTCTACTTCTTTCGACACGCTTTTCAATTATTTGTCGTAGGATAAATATATTATCAAGGCAGGATCTCCCGGTACGAAAGCCGCTTTGTTCTTCAATATCTTGTATCTGTCTTTCAACCCTCTTCTTTAATATTCTGCCGTACAACCGGCCCACGGAGCTCGTCACACTAATACCGCTATAATTGGAACAGTCTCTTTTATTCCCTCTCTTATATATGGAGCTTATATAAGATTTCTTCCAATCTTTAGGAATTTCCTGATCTCCACACATACATTTATTAAAAAGGTCTACTATTAATTCTAAAAGTGTAGTCGGCCTATGTTTAACCAGCTCTATGGGAATGTCTCCAGGCCCTGTGGCTTTTCCGTTTTTAACCTCTTTAAGGTTTCCGTCAATTCAGATAATGTTATTATAGGGATTTCCTGTCTTTCGTCTCTGTTATCTATTAATTCCCTTATCTTGTCCCATCTGTACTATATCCTCTTTCAGCAGTTTCGTATAATATTCTTCCCATTCATTTAACTTTATGAGAGGAATGTTCTCTTCATTTTTCTTACTTTTCCTAAACTGCTTTAATGTTTTCCAAGCTTGTGCCACTTTTGTTCCACCCATAAATCTGTCCAGTTCATCACACTTAGCCTCCCAGTTTACATTTTTCGCCTTATCCACTTCTTTTTAACTTCTCTATTCCATTTGGCGTATATTTATCTGTCTTGAGGATCTTTGGATTGAAGCCATATGTGATATGCTTGTTTTTTCTTGAGAACTTTCTCTTCTAGTTCCGTTTACAACCATTCAGGTTTTCCTTTTTTCCGATTTTCAACTTTTCTCAGTGCTTCATTTGCCGCTTCGTGAATATATGTTTTAATTACCTCATACAGACTTTCAGGGTCTAAGTCCTTTGTTTCTATATTTTTTATTTTTTGAGCTATTCTAATTTTATATAAGAACTTTGTCGAATCTTGTTTAAAGCTTTCCAGATTATATTTTATGTTTTCTATGGTTGTTCCTATGTCTGTTACTTCATCATTTTTGTGACTTTATTGTTCTCTCTTAAATGTCACCATTACTTTTGCAATAATCATATGGTGGTCACTTCCACATTCTGGCCCTCTAAACACCCTCACGTCCTTAGATAGTCCTCAGATAGTAATGATATTATCTCTAAAAAACATAACAAAATATTACTAAAATAAAGAATAAGGGGAGACCAGCGGACATTCAAATAAAATAATAGTCTTCCACGCACGGTGAAGTGGTGGAGCGTCTGTTAGACACTAAGTGTCTCTGGCTAGCACGGGTAGAACTGTCTTCATCACAAGTCATGGAAACGAATATTTCTTATAGACATGCTGGACTCTCAAGGCGAGGGTATATGTATATATAAGTAAGTACTGACTCACACTCTGAAATTGGCAAGAAAAACACACAGTATTACCTTTACTGTCCACTTTATATTGCAGATTTCAGGAAGTACATAAAAATAGCAATATAGTACAAGGAATATTATATGAAAGTGCTGATATACTGTTACTTAAAGACACAATGTTTCTCCCATAAATATCTTCCCCACTATTAAATAAACAAATAGCATTAAGTGAAATATATTACACTATTTTAAAAAAATTTGGTTTATGGATATAAATAATTCCTCACCTGGAAATATCTGTTCAAATATAAGCGATCTGCAAGATATTTCATGACCTTTTAAAAGATAGGATATATTAGGATCGTTAACATTATTATACGTTCCATTGTGTCTTAACTTAATTCTACATAATCCTCGCTTTTTCTTCTGTCTACTACCACCAGGTTGGTCACACAAACATTTACTAAAGGGTTCCCAATAAGTATACAACTCCATAGAGAGCTTTAGGTTTTGTCTGGCGTGAACAAAATCGTATCCTTCAGATTTTTGCAAAAGTTTATTGATAGATGATATGAATTCTTCATAATATATTTTCCAATCAGACAGGTTGCCTGTTTCGGTTTCTAAAACAGATGATATATGTAAATTCAATAATCTTAAGATCTTATAATAAATTAAAATTGTGAAAAATATGAAATAGTAAATAAGATATGGGTACCACGATGCGCAAGTTAGTTGAAATCTTGAGTTTAAGGATCAATATACAAAAGACTATTTATTTCTGTATTCATAAAGAACCTAGTGAGCTGGTAATGAATAATTGTAGAACAATAACACAATGCCAAAACTATAACTATACAGGAGTAACGAAAAAATATACAACGAAGAAACAAATAATTCTGTAGAATAAATCATAAAAAACAAAAGGAAATTTGTACGTATGTTATTGTATATTTTATTTAAAAATAGATATCTGTTTATTCAATAATATTAAGATCTCAAAATAAATGAAAATTGTGAAAAATATCAAATAGTAAATAAGATATGGATACCATGATGCGTAAGTTATTTGAAATCTTGAGTTTAAGATCAATATAAAAAAGACTGAATATTTCTGTTCCTCGCAATCGTTCATGCTATCTTGTTGTGTAATGTCGTCCTCAAACAATTCTTGGACGTATTCTCTCCATCACCTGTTTAGTTTGCCATTGATATCAGATATTATTTTACCATTCGTATCAACCAGGGTGTTTCTATTGTTGGGCTGTCTTATACCTGCTAATTCTGTAATTTTATTGTGCAATTCAAAACTATCATGATTTCTCTGGAGTTCTTCTATCTCTAAACATTTGTCGTTGTGCTACTTCTCTTTAGCTGTCCGTATTTTTATTCTGATCTACTTGTGTGTGGCTTTGTATTCGTTTACATTTTTGTTTTTGTATATCTTCTTTTGACCATTAGTTGCCGGATCTCATCTGTCATCCATGGGGTCTTAGCTTCATCGATTTTGTAACTACTCTTTCTGGACTAACTTTTGTATTGGCCTCATTAATGTGTGTTTTCCATTTTTCGTTGGCATCTTCATTATCATTGATTATTGTTTTGCTTAACTCCTCGTTAATTTTCAACGTTAGTTCTCCTTTTATATTCAGGTGTTTCAGCAGAGTGCTTATTTGTTGTGTCTTTTGTTGATTTTTTATTTTCTTTAAGTGAATTTCGAATTTTACGATTACTGGATTGTGGTCTGATGACACATCTGTTCCTGGACATATTTTTGCTGATTTGATGGAGTTACGGCATCTCGATTTGATAAGGATATAATCTATCTGGTTTATAATAATTTTTGCTTTGCTATCCACAAGTGACTTCCATGTATATAATCTACGTGGTGGTAACTAAAAGAATGTATTTGTCGCTATCATTTCAAACTCCTGGCAGGATTCTGTCAGTCTTTCCCCTTTTTTGTTTCTTATTCGTAGTCCGAATTCACTAATAATGTCTTAGAATTTACATTTTCCTAATTTAGCATTAAAATCCCTCATTGTTATTGTTATATCTCTATTATTGGTGCTGTCTAGTGCTTTTTTAATGTCATTGTAGAGCTATTTCATTTTCATTTTTATCTGCAGTAGGGACAGGGGCATACACCTGTATGATATTAAGGGTTCTATATGCTGTTTGTTAACCATCTCCGGTTCATAGATGACATTTTCCTTATCACAGATAATGTAGGAGAAGCCAAAGATATGTTAAATGAATTGGACTGTGCTTGTTCGAAGGTGGGTTTCAGAATAAACTGGACCAAAATTAAGGTTATGACAAATATGGTCCACAATTACTATTTAACTACACTTCATCTAATTTAGATAACGATGCACGTCATCGGCGTCATAGCCTGTGACGTCATATGATACCAACACGAAATATTTAGGGTTTAGGTGTGTTCTTTTTAGAATCACTTTACCGAGTACACTGGCATTACAGCCACTAGGCATATTTTATTATATACGCGTAGAAATAATATTTAAAAATTTCTATTAATACACAATAATATGTTTCATTTAATTTGTATAAATCCATTATAAAGAGTTTTTATCAAGAACATTTGTTCGGAACACACTGTAACTGTAATCGAACGAAGGTAAAATTTTGGCATAAATTGGTAACACTTATTTGACAGTTGCGGTGTTGACACTTTTAGTACTTTATTATTTTGAATTTTAAAGTGAATACATCTCGTTTT